TTCCACTCCGCTTAGTTTTTGAGTAAAAAAATTATTTGTAAAGTCTTACTTTACAAAACATCATTATTTTCAAAAAATCGTAACTCCATTAATAATAACTCAATGGCTTTGAGTTTTTGGTATTTTTGAGATTGAATCTTTAGGAAAAAGTTCCCAAAATTTCAACTTTCAACTCCCCTTAGTTTTTAAGTAAAAAAATTGTTTGTAAAGTCTTACTTTACAAAACATCATTATTTTCAAAAAATCGTAACTCCATTAATAATAACTCAATGGCTTTGAGTTTTTGGTATTTTTTAGATTGAATCTTTAGGAAAAAGTTCCCAAAATTTCAACTTTCCACTCCGCTTAGTTTTTGAGTAAAAAAATTATTTGTAAAGTCTTACTTTACAAAACATCATTATTTTCAAAAAATCGTAACTCCATTAATAATAACTCAATGGCTTTGAGTTTTTGGTATTTTTGAGATTGCATCATTAGGAAAAAGTTCCCAAAATTTCAACTTTCAACTCCCCTTAGTTTTTAAGTAAAAAAATTGTTTGTAAAGTCTTACTTTACAAAACATCATTATTTTCAAAAAATCGTAACTCCATTAATAATAACTCAATGGCTTTGAGTTTTTGGTATTTTTTAGATTGAATCTTTAGGAAAAAGTTCCCAAAATTTCAACTTTCCACTCCGCTTAGTTTTTGAGTAAAAAAATTGTTTGTAAAGTCTTACTTTACAAAACATCATTATTTTCAAAAAATCGTAACTCCAATAATAATAACTCAATGGCTTTGAGTTTTTGGTATTTTTTAGATTGAATCTTTAGGAAAAAGTTCCCAAAATTTCAACTTTCCACTCCGCTTAGTTTTTGAGTAAAAAAATTGTTTGTAAAGTCTTACTTTACAAAACATCATTATTTTCAAAAAATCGTAACTCCATTAATAATAACTCAATGGCTTTGAGTTTTTGGTATTTTTTAGATTGAATCTTTAGGAAAAAGTTCCCAAAATTTCAACTTTCCACTCCGCTTAGTTTTTGAGTAAAAAAATTGTTTGTAAAGTCTTACTTTACAAAACATCATTATTTTCAAAAAATCGTAACTCCATTAATAATAACTCAATGGCTTTGAGTTTTTGGTATTTTTTAGATTGAATCTTTAGGAAAAAGTTCCCAAAATTTCAACTTTCCACTCCGCTTAGTTTTTGAGTAAAAAAATTATTTGTAAAGTCTTACTTTACAAAACATCATTATTTTCAAAAAATCGTAACTCCATTAATAATAACTCAATGGCTTTGAGTTTTTGGTATTTTTGAGATTGCATCATTAGGAAAAAGTTCCCAAAATTTCAACTTTCAACTCCCCTTAGTTTTTAAGTAAAAAAATTGTTTGTAAAGTCTTACTTTACAAAACATCATTATTTTCAAAAAATCGTAACTCCATTAATAATAACTCAATGGCTTTGAGTTTTTGGTATTTTTTAGATTGAATCTTTAGGAAAAAGTTCCCAAAATTTCAACTTTCCACTCCGCTTAGTTTTTGAGTAAAAAAATTATTTGTAAAGTCTTACTTTACAAAACATCATTATTTTCAAAAAATCGTAACTCCATTAATAATAACTCAATGGCTTTGAGTTTTTGGTATTTTTGAGATTGCATCATTAGGAAAAAGTTCCCAAAATTTCAACTTTCAACTCCCCTTAGTTTTTAAGTAAAAAAATTGTTTGTAAAGTCTTACTTTACAAAACATCATTATTTTCAAAAAATCGTAACTCCATTAATAATAACTCAATGGCTTTGAGTTTTTGGTATTTTTTAGATTGAATCTTTAGGAAAAAGTTCCCAAAATTTCAACTTTCCACTCCGCTTAGTTTTTGAGTAAAAAAATTGTTTGTAAAGTCTTACTTTACAAAACATCATTATTTTCAAAAAATCGTAACTCCATTAATTATAACTCAATGGCTTTGAGTTTTTGGCATTTTCTCTTCTTTCAACTAACTTTAGTTTTTGAGTGAAAAAATTGTTTGTAAAGTCTTACTTTACAAAACATCATTATTTTCAAAAAATCGTAACTACATTAATAATAACTCAATGACTTTGAGTTTTTGGTATTTTTGAGATTGCATCATTAGGAAAAAGTTCCCAAAATTTCAACTTTCAACTCCCCTTAGTTTTTGAGTAAAAAAATTGTTTGTAAAGTCTTACTTTACAAAACATCATTATTTTCAAAAAATCGTAACTCCATTAATAATAACTCAATGGCTTTGAGTTTTTGGTATTTTTTAGATTGAATCTTTAGGAAAAAGTTCCCAAAATTTCAACTTTCCACTCCGCTTAGTTTTTGAGTAAAAAAATTATTTGTAAAGTCTTACTTTACAAAACATCATTATTTTCAAAAAATCGTAACTCCATTAATTATAACTCAATGGCTTTGAGTTTTTGGTATTTTTGAGATTGCATCATTAGGAAAAAGTTCCCAAAATTTCAACTTTCAACTCCCCTTAGTTTTTAAGTAAAAAAATTGTTTGTAAAGTCTTACTTTACAAAACATCATTATTTTCAAAAAATCGTAACTCCATTAATAATAACCCAATGGCTTTGAGTTTTTGGTATTTTTTAGATTGAATCTTTAGGAAAAAGTTCCCAAAATTTCAACTTTCCACTCCGCTTAGTTTTTGAGTAAAAAAATTATTTGTAAAGTCTTACTTTACAAAACATCATTATTTTCAAAAAATCGTAACTCCATTAATAATAACTCAATGGCTTTGAGTTTTTGGTATTTTTGAGATTGCATCATTAGGAAAAAGTTCCCAAAATTTCAACTTTCAACTCCCCTTAGTTTTTAAGTAAAAAAATTGTTTGTAAAGTCTTACTTTACAAAACATCATTATTTTCAAAAAATCGTAACTCCAATAATAATAACTCAATGGCTTTGAGTTTTTGGTATTTTTTAGATTGAATCTTTAGGAAAAAGTTCCCAAAATTTCAACTTTCCACTCCGCTTAGTTTTTGAGTAAAAAAATTGTTTGTAAAGTCTTACTTTACAAAACATCATTATTTTCAAAAAATCGTAACTCCATTAATTATAACTCAATGGCTTTGAGTTTTTGGCATTTTCTCTTCTTTCAACTAACTTTAGTTTTTGAGTGAAAAAATTGTTTGTAAAGTCTTACTTTACAAAACATCATTATTTTCAAAAAATCGTAACTACATTAATAATAACTCAATGACTTTGAGTTTTTGGTATTTTTGAGATTGCATCATTAGGAAAAAGTTCCCAAAATTTCAACTTTCAACTCCCCTTAGTTTTTGAGTAAAAAAATTGTTTGTAAAGTCTTACTTTACAAAACATCATTATTTTCAAAAAATCGTAACTCCATTAATTATAACTCAATGGCTTTGAGTTTTTGGCATTTTCTCTTCTTTCAACTAACTTTAGTTTTTGAGTGAAAAAATTGTTTGTAAAGTCTTACTTTACAAAACATCATTATTTTCAAAAAATCGTAACTACATTAATAATAACTCAATGACTTTGAGTTTTTGGTATTTTTGAGATTGCATCATTAGGAAAAAGTTCCCAAAATTTCAACTTTCAACTCCCCTTAGTTTTTGAGTAAAAAAATTGTTTGTAAAGTCTTACTTTACAAAACATCATTATTTTCAAAAAATCGTAACTCCATTAATTATAACTCAATGGCTTTGAGTTTTTGGCATTTTCTCTTCTTTCAACTAACTTTAGTTTTTGAGTGAAAAAATTGTTTGTAAAGTCTTACTTTACAAAACATCATTATTTTCAAAAAATCGTAACTACATTAATAATAACTCAATGACTTTGAGTTTTTGGTATTTTTGAGATTGCATCATTAGGAAAAAGTTCCCAAAATTTCAACTTTCAACTCCCCTTAGTTTTTGAGTAAAAAAATTGTTTGTAAAGTCTTACTTTACAAAACATCATTATTTTCAAAAAATCGTAACTCCATTAATAATAACTCAATGGCTTTGAGTTTTTGGTATTTTTTAGATTGAATCTTTAGGAAAAAGTTCCCAAAATTTCAACTTTCCACTCCGCTTAGTTTTTGAGTAAAAAAATTATTTGTAAAGTCTTACTTTACAAAACATCATTATTTTCAAAAAATCGTAACTCCATTAATAATAACTCAATGGCTTTGAGTTTTTGGTATTTTTTAGATTGAATCTTTAGGAAAAAGTTCCCAAAATTTCAACTTTCCACTCCGCTTAGTTTTTGAGTAAAAAAATTGTTTGTAAAGTCTTACTTTACAAAACATCATTATTTTCAAAAAATCGTAACTCCATTAATAATAACTCAATGGCTTTGAGTTTTTGGTATTTTTTAGATTGAATCTTTAGGAAAAAGTTCCCAAAATTTCAACTTTCCACTCCGCTTAGTTTTTGAGTAAAAAAATTGTTTGTAAAGTCTTACTTTACAAAACATCATTATTTTCAAAAAATCGTAACTCCATTAATAATAACTCAATGGCTTTGAGTTTTTGGTATTTTTTAGATTGAATCTTTAGGAAAAAGTTCCCAAAATTTCAACTTTCCACTCCGCTTAGTTTTTGAGTAAAAAAATTGTTTGTAAAGTCTTACTTTACAAAACATCATTATTTTCAAAAAATCGTAACTCCATTAATAATAACTCAATGGCTTTGAGTTTTTGGTATTTTTTAGATTGAATCTTTAGGAAAAAGTTCCCAAAATTTCAACTTTCCACTCACTTTAGTTTTTGAATGAAAAAATTGTTTGTAAAGTCCTACTGTACAACTCCTTAGGGCCAAATTATGGACTGACTGGTAATCGTCTGGTTGTTACCTAGCAGGTATTTTCTATGCTCTAGATAATTGAAAGTACCTGCTAGGTAACAGCCAGACACTTACCAGTTGGTCCATAATTTGGCCCCTAACAAGGCAACCTATCTGTCTGATATTTAGACTGGTAATCTACTGACAAAATAAAATATGACCTGGCAACACTAAACACAAAAAAAAAGCCAAATTAATGGATAGTTTTAATATGGCTGGTAATTAACAATTAAAAACGTTAATTAGTTAGTTTGAACTTGTTATAATTATTTGCTTCCTGCTTTAAATAAAACAAAATTATACTGGAAAAAATATTTATCGTACAGTTAAAATTGTTCCTGATATCCTGGCAAACAAGGGATAAAATTTATCATCTACCCCAATATCATCCCAAGCTTTAAGCAATAGAGTTTCCAAAAATTGGGTGGCAGTATATTTATCATGAGGCAATAACCCACTGTCAACTTTAACAGTAAACAAAAACAATGCCCTTTTAATTAAAGGGTTGTATTCGTCACATAACAGATGTAACGCCTGAGCCGATTTACCAGGCACTAATTGTAAATTCCTTATAATAAAGACACCAGATTTGTCTAATTGTTGGCGGTAATTTGAAACAATGCTGCCAAAATCGTCTTGGATTGCAATAGGACTTAAGACAGAGCCTTCGATGTTGATTGGTTCCTGGGAACAATCTGACAAAAGACAAACTGCCACCTTGGAAATGCTTGTCACAATATTTTCCACAATAGTCAAAGAGTGGTTTTCATATAGGAATATTATCACTCTTGGCTGTTGGAATTCAAGTATTTCTTGTACATTGACTCTGATGCTAGGCCAGAAATGTTTATCTTGTTTGTTGAATTGATTTTCTAAGTCTTCAATAGAATATTTATTATTTGAGATTCCTTTGTATTGAGGCAATAATAATATAGCAATCATTAGAAATGCCATTATTACTGCAAATAAGTAATTATTACTTAAAAGTAATTATAAGTAATAAACCTCTATATACCTGCCATTAAATAGTAGTATTTTGTGGTAAATTTATTATTGTCAGAATCAATGAGGCAAGTTTCTTGCTCAATAGAACTTTGTGAATCTGAATCTGAACTGTAAAAAAAACCCTCCTGGGAAAAACCTTGTGACCACATGTTGTCATTTTCGAATTTTCTGGTTTCTGTCTGTTGTTGTCCGAAACAGTCTTTAGGAGTGGCTTTTCCAATAGGGCTTGTATGAGAAATATTTTGTACATGTATACCTTTCCGGCTGCGAATCCTAAGATTTGAGGGGGTGCTACTGGCCTCTGGATTCGGCTAAAGTTACAATATCTTACCATACTATATTTTACTATACTATAATCTTACCATACTATTATGTATTGAGTAAACTCCTTCTTTTTACAAAATAAATAGATGCCTTATTGAATAGGCAATTGATTCCATATAAATAATAACAAATATTTAAAAATATTGAAAAATTAAAAACATAGAACAGACAACTCTTTCTAACCTAACCTACCTAAAATTGAAACAGGAATCTTCATATGACTTGAGGCGCAACACCAATTCAAACCAATAGGTGGCTAAATAATCGCTATCAATTCGCGAAGGGCCCCGAAGTACGCGACATCTATGATCAACTTTGGTACTGAAAACTCACTGAACAACAAAGCAAGTTTGCATTTGGCCCCCGGCATTGTTTCTGGAAGATTTCAATTTTCTACAGAATATTATTTATTTTATGTATTGTTTCTGTTATATAAATCACGAAAACACCATAAAACACAATTTAACAAAAACTCAATGTTCTTCACTGAGTTCGGCAGACATATTGCTATTTTTCGCGTAATTTAGCGCCATCTATTGGTATAGGAATTTCGCCAATAGCTGAAGATCTCAGATATTCTCATCTCATTGTTTGAAAGTTTTTTCAGGTAATGACCAACGTGCAAATCAGGGACAAGAGTCCCTGTTTGGGAATCGACCCACTAAGTAGTGGACCCCGCATTCCCGTGCCAATATCCTTGACACGTTTCGTCCTTGTTAGGACTCATCAGAAGGACATAGGCTGAAGCTCCCTGTTCAAGCAAAATTGAACTTCGTTGACCAATCAGAAGCAACTACTCCGAGGGCAAATACCCCTACCGGCATTGAACTACACTGATTGGTCGGGGTCCACTACTCAGTGGGTCGATTCCCAAACAGGGACTCTTGTCCCTGATTTGCACGTTGGTCATTACCTGAAAAAACTTTCAAACAATTTTCATTGCCAACGAAAGCTCAGACCAATCAGTGTAGTTCAATGCCGGTAGGGGTATTTGCCCTCAGAGTAGTTGTTTCTGATTGGTCAACGAAATTTATTCTCATCTCACTTCATCTCAACATGCGATGAGGCGAAACAAAGAAAGAACACGTTTAATATAATGCAAATGTCTATAAGGGCCAAATTATGAAATGATTGGTAAACGTCTGGTTGTTACCTAACAGGTACTTTCTATGCTCTAGATAATAGAAAGTACCTGCTAGGTAACAACCATGATAATTTGGCCCTAAGGTACCCCATGCGTCATCAAGTTACCCATTATCAGGCAACCATAAGGAGAAAAAACGTGAAACTTCAGTTCAAATAAGTAATTTATTGAAAGAATCATTTGCCCACCAAATTGGTACAGCTAAAAATCATAAACTCTACCAGGATTGCTGAATCTGTCCACCAAAGCTGTGACGTCAATGGAAGTCCTTCATTTTATTGGCACGTTTACTATGTAAACGCATGGAAAACTTGCAGTGTTTTTCTACGTGACGTCAGACGCAGTCCTTCATGTTTGATGATTTAGTGAACATGTCTTATGAGATTATGAATCCTGTAGAATTTGGTTACAGCTAAATATAATCAAAGCCTTTATTAAACCCTTAACCCTAAAAACTATGCCATTCTTTAACCAGTTCAATTTAGTAACAATTAAATAATGTTATCACAAAAGGGATTGCTTTGTTATTACCTAAAGAATCATTTTTAAATAGTAAACTTCTTCAACTATTAGATAAAGTGGGGTTCACACATCAAATTGCTCATTTATAAGGTCTGTTCGTATAGAAATTGGAAAAACTGAAAATTTAAAAATTTGAACTTTTCTTAAGGGGGCCATATTTTGGGACTCCGAGCCCAAGGGCTTCATTTCCAAAATATTCCACCTGGAAGCTTTAGCAAAATTTGAGGTAGAGTTTCAACTTTGAACCTCAATATCTTCACGAGTATCCAAGATATATAATTGAATCTTATTTTATCTTGAAGATAATTTAATTCTGATTCAGAATATATAATTTTACATCATATTTGTTACAATAATAACCGAGTAATCAGCAATTTTGTAAAAGAATGTCAGATTATTGAAATTTTTTGAGCCCAAAAATTGCAAAAATAAGGCTTTAAAACTAGTTTTCAACAACTGTGATTGCTGTACGAACAGGCCTGATGAAAATCTATCTATATCATCCAACTCTAGTAGTAAAATAGTTCAGGAAAATTTTGCTCATAAGTAGGTATCTGAGTTCCCTTTGGCTCCTCAACATTGCCAGCATCTGTTACGCTCAACGACTTAAAAATTTCATTAAGCCTGTTCTGCAAAATGTCGTGTTTGGGTTGCGTTCTACGCACAAGTTCAGAGAATGTCGCCGTCCTAAATGCTTGGCTGATTTGCTTGCGCCTTTCGGCTTCAGCCTCTTTTCGTACTTCTATTGGCTCAGTGAGCACCTTTTTCATGCTTTCAAACGTCAGATCTTCTTCGGGCATTTTCTGGAAAACAACTTTACAGAATCTATTAAGGCTTACGCACATCTTACTCTGGCAAGTCCTGGGGAACTGGCAGCACTGTCCACTTCATGCACAGATTGAATTTCCATAATACTGCCACGGGCACTTGTTTCCATCCAACTATGTCTTTGACTGCCAGCTATTACACCTAAAACAACCAATTTTCAACCAACTTTTTTATGGAATAAAACTGTACCTGGTCCTCCTGCTCCATAAGGCGAAGTTTGACTGAGACGCGAAGAATCGATTCCAGAAGCTTTTAAGTAATCGCAAACGGCCATCTGATCCACCAATAAGTGAGGAATTTTATTTGCTGGCTCGCACTCACCAGGATAGTGGCTCAACATGTCAGGCAAACAATGAGGAGCCTCTTCTTTTCTCGCTTCCACTAGTCTTTTGGCGTAATCCGACAAGGGCTGAATATTGACAACATCTGGAATGAGCACTAGTAGGCCAATAACCAAAGTGTGCAGGTTGAATTTTTGAGCAGCAGATAGAGCAGTGGAGGATAGAGCCAGACTTTGGATACTGCAAAGCCATTTAATAATAAATAATATTTGAGTATAAGTTGAGATATTTTTACCCTAACAACAGCTGCAAAAGATCAATAACAGTTTCAGTACTGTTCAATTCCACACAAAGCAACGCCAAAGTTGTATAAACAGCCTCAATATTCTCTGGAGTATTCGAATCCATTTGCAAGCTAGTATACAGGGCATCATAGATAATTGGCCCATGTTTGTTAATAAAAATCAAATCGGGCCTGGAAGATTTCTCAATGTTCAAATCCAAATCCGCAATGTTCAAAGCCAGTTTGCTTAGTTTCTCTAAGTTACCATGCCGGTCAATTAGGGTGTGCAAGATTTTCTGGACCAAAAGACGCATTTCTGGATCTGGTGCCAGCGACATGCGCAATAGAGGCTCCAAAAAGGACACAGGGAATGTGGTATTGAGGTGGATGGTTTGGTATTTGGTGCCTACTTTTAATAAACTCTTCAATAGAATGCTTTGAAGCATATTATCAGCAGGTGTTTGGTTGTCTACTAGAGGAAAAGGGATTTTGCTCATTATAAACATCATTATTTCAATTTTCTGATAGTCAGGCAAATGGTTGGCGAACTCGCCCAATGCATTTATTAAAGCCTCTTGGTACTGCTTCTCATCCGCCTGACAGGTACCATTTTTCACAGAATCTCTCAAGTGGTTGAGCAGGGAATTGATTATTTCCAGGACTGTGGGGCCCACGCTTTCTCCAGCCGCAATCGCTATGATTTTCGATAGGACTTCGGCGATGCTGGTGCGGATTGTGGCGCTGGATTTGACGTTTTCGTCCAGGTGGGCCATCAGAATTTCGACCACTGTGTAAGAGTACTGGGCCTGGATAACAAAGGAATTGTAGTTGTTGATTTTGTTAGACAAACCAATCGATTTCTCGATAACCGTTGGGCAAATTGCATTAAAATTGTCGGCCTTTTGTAATGAGCTCTAGAAATTCTGTAACTCGCAATGTTTCCAGTTTATAGTTTTTGAGTAAATTGAGTTTGAAGTTTTTGGCAAAATTTGGACTAAAAATCAACTTAACGGTTCAATTGCTCAAAAACTATTTGAGCTACTAGGCTCAATTTTACTCAGATTTATAGAGAATTTAATGCTCTTTGCAATGGTATATAATTTATTTCAATTTGCTCAAAATTTAACAAAGATATGAGCAATTGTTCATCACCATGTGAGCCAAGAATAGGATTTCTTTTTTGGTCATTTGGAAGTGATGTTGTTTTCCACTAATTTTGGCCAAAGTTAAAATTGAGTAAAACTGAAAAATTGCAACAAACCTGAATAGAAAACATAATAATGCGAAAAGTGTGAATGGCAAATTCGTTTGGCACCCACAACTTGTGCAAGTCAAAGTGGCGCAGCACAGGACGCAGTACCACACGGATGTGACCGAAGGATGCACGGCCTACTAGTTCGCGCATGCAAGTCTCAGCCAGCATAGGCGGATCGGTACCATCTTCCTGTACATCGTCAGCAATACGTTGGTCCTTGTGAAAGCTGGAATCTTGCATGTTAAAAAGAAGACTGGGAACAATTTTGTCCATATGCACGGGCTCCCAAATGTTTTCCACCAAATCGTCAGAAACGGTTTTCCTGACAACGGCCTGAAGACCTTTGATGCCTGCAGTGCGGATTTTATCGCGGATTTCTTTGCTGTCGCCACTGTGGCACATGGCTGAGAATTTGCTGACAAAGAAGTCATAGCGTCTGTGGTAAGAGGGCGTATCTTCTTCAATGTTTGCGAATTTTACAAACTGAAACGCAGTCAGAAATAATTGCTGTAAGACAAACAAGGCCCACTTACTGATTGAGTGGCTAATATTTGCAAATCCGGCTCAGTAGTTTCCAGCAATTTTTGCACCATTTTCAGGAAACTTTCCACAAAAAGGTTGAGAGTAGGTGCGTGACATGCTAACAACAACTGATCCATAGCTTCCATTGCAATAATGACAAATCTATGAGACATTAAACATTTAATGATTTTTGTGGTCACTTTTGATCACTCACCCGTATTTCTTTCTGTAGATATCTCTGGCGGCTCTTTGGTACAAATACTCACCGATTCTGTCCGTCTTTTCGGGCGAACTGAGCGAGTAAAAGGTGAGTTTTTCCATGTTGCTTTTGACCAGCCCATCTTGCGGGTAAACGGGAAAAATGCTGTCCACCAAACGCTTGTATCTAGGCCTGAAGGCGCTACAACAACCGCAACAGCCTGAAATATCCCCACAATACAATTGTTTTGCCTATTGGGCCATATTTTCAGTAGGTAGTTCATAAAGCCTGACTTTAATGGAAAAGCTTGGCTTTGCTTTGTCACACAAAAAGACAAGCGTTTCCACTAAGCCAGGCTTTATGAGCTACGAAGAATATGGCCCTGAAGGGCTTATATACTTTACCGTTCATCGTTTTTTGCTTATATGTACAAAATTGAAAACTACGTACATACAAACAAAGATCAGCTGATTGCGACGTGATTATTTTTTATGAATGAGTTATGAATGAACTTATAGGCAACCAGTAAGTACCAAGGAGTACCGTTTTTAAGTACTGTACGGAGTCACTAATGGAATGATTATATAGGGACTAGTACTCACATCCAGGGTCGTTTTGATACAAAGTATCGAACATTTCGGCCACTTCTCCTGGATCAAAGCAACACTTTAACAATGCCATTGCCCAAAGATTTCTATGGGTACATTTGAATTTTTTTACGGTTTATGTACAATGTACACGTCCATAACCTTGTTTTTATACTACCAGGCGTCCAAAGGGCATGTGCGCGACGCCCTATAATATATTTCTGTATAAATTCGATAAAATCTTGCGCAATTTCAATGTCATGGATTTACTAACACAAATTAATGGATAGTTTTAATATGGCCGGTAATTAACAATAAAAAACGTTAATTAGTTAGTTTGAACTTGATCTGTTATAATTATTGGTTTGTAAAGTATTACTTTACAAAACATCCTTATTTTAAAACAGTCATCTCCATTAAATAACTCAAGCCCTTGTCATTTCAATAATCTGACATTCTTTCACAAAATTGCTGATTACTCGGGTATTATTATAACAATTATAATGTAAAATTATATATTCTGAATCAGAAATAAATTATCTTCAAGATAAAATAAGATTCAATTCTATATCTTGAATACTTCTGAAGATATTGAGGCTCAAAGTTGAAACTCTACCTCAAATTTTGCAAAAGCTTCCAGGTGGAATATCTTGGAAACGAAGCCCTTGGGCTCGGAGTCTTAAATAACTTTTTTTGTAGCCCTTATCAAGAGCTACAATTGGGCAAAAGATTCATGCCAAAAACTTCACTGGTTTCCAAAATATGACCCTTTGAAATATTTGGAAAAGTTCGATTTTTTAAATTTTCAGCATAGTTTTTCGGGTTAAGGGTGGTAAACCATTTACAATGGTTTGAAGGACTGCGTCTGACGTCACATGCTATAAGTCGCAGTCCTTGATCGGATTGTTTGATTCTTTCTTTAGATCCTATGCGTTTACAGTAAAGGACTGTCGCTGACGTCACAGCTTTGGTGGACAGATTCAGCTATCCTGGTAGAGTTTATGATTCTTAGCTGTACCGATTTGGTGGGCAAATGATTTTTTCAATAAATTACTTAGTTGAACTGAAGTTTCACGTTTTTTCTAGTTATGATCTTGCCTGATAATGGGTAACTTGATGACACATCTGGGGGTGCCTTATAGACATTTGCATTATGTTTAGGCACCACAGATGACGTCATCCAATTATCCATGAGTTAGAAAAGATAACCAAACAAACAACAAATAGACTGTTAATTCTATATTTATCAATTTAAACACAAAATAATCAAAAACCCTATCCCTCTAACGTGTTAAACAAAAATAAGTTAAAACAATGATTTCATCTAAATGCAGCCTCAATCACTATTGAATTTCCAACAGCTCCACATCAAAAATCAAGGTAGCATGTGGTGGGATGATGCCTGGATGGCCTCTGGCCCCATAAGCGTAGTCCGATGAGCAAGTTAGCTTGGCCCTTTGACCCACACTCATCTAGAAACATTTCACATTAAAGCCCAAATATTAAATAAAGAAGTTCTTTACTTGTGCGACTCCTTCATCCCAGCCCTTGATCACTTCCCCTTTGCCAATGCGGAATTTAAAGGGCGTCCCACGGTCTCGCGACGAGTCGAACTTGGTACCGTTTTCCAATGTGCCGGTGTAGTGCACCACGACTCTTTGCCCGGTCTTTGGGTAGGTGGAACCTGGAAATTCAGATCAGCAAAAGCATGCTACTTAAGGAAAATGGAACTTACCATCTCCAGGTGAAAGCGATTGTACTTGCACGCCCATTGCTGAAAATATAAAGAATTATTCGGTGAATGAGGGATTGATGGGTTTTTTACCTTTGAAAATTGGGAAAATAAAGAAGAAAATGCAATGTCTGGCAGGAAAAATGCAACCAACAACCAACGCCTTGGGCTTGGGGCCGAAAATAGTGACACCTAGATGACACTTGTCAAAACAACATCAAACAACCAAAAAGAAAACGCTACCACGGCATCTTGAGAGGTGCTTTCCAGTGACCCATTTGAGTTACTCCAGAGCAGCTCAGGAGTGCTCCACAATTGCTTTGCGCATTCCAGTGCTTAGAGTGTCGTACACTTGAGCTACTCATTTCTGTTATTCTCTGCCCCCTCGTGCATCAACCTTTTTGTCTGTGTTTCATGCTCCTGAAATCCGAAATGGTGGGGTTAAGACGAGAGCGTTTCAGTGCTACTTATGTCGAACAGTTCAAGAGCGTCACACTTCAGGAGCATGATACTCTAACAATTTAGGCACTGGAAAGCGGCTAAGGTTTGTTTGCTAACTTGAGGCGAATGGTTGGAACCAATTTGTAGATGACGTCGTCACTGATGAAAACGAGAAAATGGAAGGTTTGAACACAGTCTTATGTCAACGGAGAACAACTCAAAAATCCAGGTTCAATAGTTCAACCACAGCCTCCTACACTTAAATGTAGGAGGCTGTGGTTCAACGCAAAAGTGTACAGCTTCAAACTTATTTGAACCAGTTCCACCGCGAGAAAACAGCTCAAATCTGTTCTAAAAATTGATCAAAAATCTGTTCCGAACTTGTTTACTGTCAAATAAGGACCTGAACTGGATCTCAATTTAAAAAAAAATCCCGAATTAGTGTTCTAGAACACATTGAACCTATTCCATTTTTTGTTCGTAATTCAATTAGAACCAGTTCCAAATTATTTAAAGTTCAACTAAAGTCAGTTTCTTTGTGTTCTAATTAGTTCAAGATCAAAAATTCTTAATATAAGTGCCCTGGAACACATCGAATTTACTCTTTTTTATTCACAATTCATTTAAAACCGGTTCTAAATCGACTCTGAACTGACTCTAATTTGGAATAGGTTTGTTCGGACTTATTTTAGAAACAGAATTGAACTGCATTACTGTATTGTATCACGCAGTTCAATTCAAATAAATTCATTATGGTTGCGTTGTTCTGAACACATTGAATTATTTGCAGTTCATTTAGAACCGATTCCAGATGATTTTTGAACTGGTTCTCAGTATTCCAAGTAGTTCGACTCACTATTTATTACAGTTTCCTACAATTACAACAACAACACAATCAGCTGTAACAAATATAAACAATCTAAATATAAATAAATATGATGATGTCTCATAGTCATAATAATATTAATTATTATGGTTAGCTTATCTAGAAGTTACAATACAAATTCAGGGGTGAGTAAAGTCTATTTTAACCATGCAATAATACAGGTTATTGTTGCAGGGAGCGACATTTTTCAGTGAATCGGTCAACATGGACGATCGCGAGCTGCTCCAGCCCGTACTGGACTCTTTCGGGGGCTTCGCCCCCATCCGTACAGCGCCCCTTTACAGCTTCCACTTGCTATTCACTTTTGTTTTGGACATAGTGGCCATTGTCTATGCAGTCACCCATCCAGCACTTGATTCCAAATGTACTGAGTACTTTGTGATTTTGTACTTGCATGTTGCCTTATGGTTTATCACTTTTGTGAGTAGTATTTACTTGCAAATTGCAAATAATTGACAAATTTAATTTAAAGGCAATTCATTTGATTACCAAACGCATTCACCACCAAGTCAGGTTGAATGGTTATTTGGAGTTTTACAAAAATGCTGAGGCTCATACGAGTCTGCCTTTGATTACTGTGAGTCTGTGGACGGTTGCCTTGCTTCTGGTGCAAACGCTCATGGTCCATTATTACCCAGACGACTTTGCCAAAAAGTGTCTGGAGGGGGGCACTCTATCTCCTAGAGCTTATATTTGTGCTCTGGTTACTTTAGAGTTTTGCACTATAGCTGGAATTAATGTCTCTTATATCAGTAAGTAACTATATATACACACACTTAACCTAATAAGCATCAAGGTCTGCCGGTGACGTCATTACTATTAGCTACTAATAGTGATGATGTCACTTGCAGACCATGCAATCTTATTAGTTTATGAATCTTAAAATTGCAGTGAAAGTTTGGAAATTCAATCAGCAACAAGCCCCACCTGACGTTTTAAAGGGCGAATGGCTGAGCTCAGCCAATCCAGAGACATTTAGCCAAAACGAAGTTGGCTACAAAGAAATGGGCAGTAGAGTGTATGACTTTCTAGAGAAACAGGTAAGAGGTTTCAATGAATGGAAATTATTATAAACTAAGAAAATTCCAGGCTGATTTGATTCGTTATCTCAAAGAACACAATGCCAGGCTTGCTCAGAAAGTGATGACTCTGAGCGCTCAGCTGCGCAGTGAAAATCCTACTGGTGTTTCTACTAGCACTTAGCAGTGAAAACGTAAGGATCTTATTATTATTGAAACTCTCTAAATAAATTGTTTTGTATTATTATTTATTTGATGATTGATCCCCAATGCTTAAGAGCACCAAGTTTTGTCCAAAAGGCATTTGCCTTTGAACCATTTATAATGCAGTTGGTTTTCAACTGAATATCCTTCTTTTAATGTGTTGGCGGCTTCTTCTTGTGACTCAATTGGCGGGAAAACTCTTTTGCAATCGCCTCGATTCAAATGTTCCTTAAAAGCTGCTATCAAGTATTGCCTGGTTTCAACAGATAAACAGCTTTTGCATAGCTGACAGTCTGACGAAGCGCAGCCCGACTTGCACAAGTCGCTGGCGCATTTTTCTGGATAAGTGACTAGATGCTTGTCAGAAACTACCATTGATTGGTCTGTCCTAAAAATCTACAAATTTAGCTTCAAGTCAAGTAAAGGTAGGTAGTTGTCTCACCTCTTTCGAATCCTTTCTCCGACTCCCACCAATCCGAAAACGTTGTACAAAACTTGATGGTAGAGCAACCTGTTGGGCGGATAATGCGCTGAAGACAAGTTTGGACTCATGTTGGCTTCCAGTAGGTGGACGTGCAAGTTTTCGTCCACCACGAAGTCAAATCGCATCATTTCGAAGAAGTTACTTTTGGATTTGTACCTGTAACATGTATAGAAAAATTGTAACTGTTGTTTTTGAAGTAGGTCCTTATTCTTGAAAGAGGAAGGCTGCGTTCCAGGAAACGAGTGTTCCGTCTTTGTTACTTATATTATTAGTTGCTTATCATTGAGAAAGACAGAACACTCGTTCTCCTGCCTGGTAACGCAGCTCCCCTGTTTCAAGGGGTGATAAAATAAATGGCGCTAGTTTTGCTGGGAAATTATTTTTCTTTGAAATAAAGCTGCTAATGTTAATTAATAATAATTAAAATCATGCTACGACTTTGTTGTTTATTTTATTTATATTTATTCTACAATAATAATAATTTTCTTGTTGTTTTATTTTGCGCATTGCCGAGTTATTGCCCAAGTAGGCTTTGAAAATTTTCAAACTGACGGCCATTTTGTCCTCGGTTTTTCGCATTTTTTTTTTAGTTTTTCTTGCGATTTTAAGTGTTCGTCAAAGTGTTTTTGGTTCGATTTGGCACACTAGACACAAAACAAGTCGGAACACTACCGTCAAACGGGGTGACTAAGGACGGATTTGACACTTTTTTGTGAATATTTCATGACCAGAATTAGTAAATGGCAATTTTAAGGTGGCTACATGTTTCTACATATTTTGGGAACACGTATGCTAAAAATAATATTTTTTCGAAAATCTTAAATATTTTTTTTTAAATTTTGAAAATTGTCCCGTTTCACCCCGTTTTCGGGGTGACTAGGGACAAGCACTTATTTAGCACTAGAAACCATTGTAAGGCGTTTCTGGAGTGAGACGGGACAAAAATAGAAATTTTTAAAAAAGTAAACATTATTTTTATTGATTTTTGAACAAAATAAAAAAATTTCTACACAAGAAATTATAAAAAAAAAGGTCATTTCTTTCGATAACAATAATGGGTCTACCTAATTTTTCAAATTTATTTGGAATGGAAATTTAACTGCACCTCTTCGCAGTTCCACAGGTCTTGGAAGTATTTTCAAAACCTGGGAAATGTTTACTGTGGATTCATCGGGAACTATTGGAAAAGCAAAGCCATTTTCTATTTTCGAATGTTCTCTTAAAAAAGTGATTCTTATTTGGTCACCAGATTTGTCTAAAATTTTTCCCACAAAATTTTTCGAAAACTTTCCGTCTGTAAATTTTACAATTGCAAAATCTTCAATGTGCAAATCAGTCACTTCCTCTGGCTCTTCTTCCAGGTTTTCCACATCTTCATTTTGATTTCTTTCTTCTCCCTCAGACTCTATGTCTTGTATGCTCCCATTATCATCAGATTCACTTCTATTTAATTCCATCTCCATTTCACTATTGTCAGAATCGGAGTCAGAACTTCTTTCACATGTCACACTTCTACCGGGTGTTACTAGAATTTTCTTTCCTTTACCTTTCTTTGCTGGGTTTGTTGGAGTTCGCTGGTTCTTTAAAAAGTCTGTGAGCGTTTCGGTCCAAGCTAGTTGGCCCTCATCTTCTCGAACAGGCTCTGGGGGTAGACGTTTCAAGACCTGATCCCTGTCGAGTGGAATAAGACCACAACAACGAAATCCAGCCTTTATGTTGTCTTCTAGCTTGTCTCCAATATTATCCAAAGCTTTGTTTAATAAGCCTGGAAACTCAGGTTTTGGGAGTACTCCTTTATTTTTTTTCTTCCACTCTAACAAAATTTTTCTCCACGATTGCTTGAGTGGTTTAAAAAATGCTGTATCCAGAGGTTGTGTAAGGTGGGTGCTATTGGGAGGTAGCAAAACGAATCTGATATTATTTTTTTGACATTCCATGATGACATTTTGGGAGATGTGGCTACTCAGGTTATCGCCTATTACAACCTTAGGCCCCTCAAGTCTTCGGAAGTAGCCTAATGCTATAGTCAAAAACCACTGTTCAAATTGATTTGAATCGAACCATCCACTTTTTGTATTTCCATATCTAGAACCCTGTGGTCCATTTCTTATCCAGTTTTCATAGAGATGTTCTGATTTGAACACCACGTATGGCGGCAACATTACACCAGATCCACTAATTGCAAACATGACTGATGTTGATGTTTTACTGGAATCAAGAATACGGTCTGCATGTTTGTTGCTTCTGCGAATAACGACACGCTGACGGCCCGGATCGTCCGTGAAGTTTGTCTCATCATAGTTCACGATGTTCGCAAGAGGAATGTTTTCTAGAGATAAGTTTAGTTCATCAAAATAGACATTTATTGCTTGCCTGTCAACTGCAGCCCTTGCTCGTTTAATGTTTTCGGAAAGTCTTAAAGCCAAATTATTTTTGTGGCGCAATAAAAATGATTTCATCCAGTCCGGCCCTGGCATATTATTTGTAAATCTTTTTATGTTTACACCCATTCTGTCATAGTATTGTTTTACCAAAATCCGTATATCCATTGGTTCTAAGGGAAATCCCCAATCGGCAACACACAACAAAGAATTCACTATTTTTTTTTCGTCTGCTTCAGCTAAGGCCAATTGACCCCCAGGTTTTTTTAAATTTTGTTTGATGACATGCTGATTAATGGTATTTCTGGATACCCCATACCGTTCCTCTAACTCTCTATAACTTGTTTGTTTCGCTAACCTTTCCCTAACGGCCATTTCAAGTCTTTTTTTGTCGTAATTTTGATATGGCCTTGCGCCAAGCCTCCTAACATATTTACGAGGCATGTCCCGAGTCACCCTAAAAAGTGCATTCAATCAGATTTTCTATCACAAAAAAATAAATAAAAATTTCTGAGCAAAAACGACCTTATTACATCTTTAACAACATATTAGCGGACAAAAAAATAAATAAAACATACATGTCATCACTTACCTTGATATATTTACAGACAACAATTGTAGCGGTTTGAAAAAACACCGATTCTCTATACTTTGAAAACAAATTTTTTGTCGCTGTAAAGACTCACCCGGTGCCGCCCGCATTAGGTGTATTAAAGACCTCAAAGTGTATGCTAATCCCCAGAATATTTATGTTGACCTCCCACCTTGCTCACCCCTGTTGCCAATTTTTATGGAAGCGCGCGCCCAAGTGTCCCAAGTCAACCCGTAGTCCAGAGTCACCCCGTTTGACGGTACTTATTTTTGGACTGGGGCCATGTAAATCGCAAGGTAAGTCTTTTCAGTAATAAATTATAGTAGGCTCTGTCTTGTTGTGTTGTAAAGTGTCGAATTTTTCATCGTTTTCAGTGCGGAAAAGTGTTTCCTTGTGTATCTTGACTAAAGCGAAAAGTGTTGTAGGCCAGGCCGTGTTATTCTCAAGTAGATATTTCCCGTTTCATAGTCAATAATATTCTATTTTTGACAACCAATTTCAAACCAGCCTACTGTTATAGTGAATAAATTCATTGTTTAGTAGCATATTAGAGTAGTTCAGCAGTAACAATCGGAGCAGTGCAAACAGAACAGTGTTAGTGCAAATGGAGCTGGAGCTGGAAAACGCAAATTTCATCGCTGCGCTCGTCTTGCAGTGGTCCATAAGTAATTCACTCACGGACGTTTGCACCGCTATAACTTATGGGATATTTGAGCCAAGTGGAGCTTTGAATGTGATTCTTGTAGAAATAATAGTCACATTCAAAGCTTTACTCAAAATAAATATCCCTTAAATGATAGCGGTGCAAATAATGGCCATCATTGATAAGAAAATGAGTTTTATGTTGAACCAATAAGTGAAAAGTACAGTTTATGAGTCAGCAATTAACTAATTAGAAGCATAATAGAGTAGTTCGAACAGTTACAATCAGAGCAGTGCAAACAGAACAAAGTTAGTGCAGATGAAACAGAAATTGAAGTAATTGGAATACTTGGAGTAACTCGAACAACAGAAGGAATTCAAAAATAGAATAAATGCAGATGGAATACTTCGAGTAATTTGAATCGAGTTAGTGCAAATGGAACAGAATTATAACAGTGAAACTAGTTCGGACAGTTGAACAGATCAATAACAGTCAGTGCACTTGGAGTAGTAAGAGAAGAATTAGTAACTTATTGGTCTATCTGCTCGAAAAATCACTAAAATCAGGAAAATCTGCTAGCAGCTGCTATTTATGAGCTTATATATGGGAGAAGTGAACGCTGATCAGCTGCTGAGATCTATAATCAGAGCAGTGCAAATAAAACAGAGTTAGTGCAGATAAAATAGAAACTAGAGCTATTGGAACACACAGAATAGAATTACTAATTTGAATCGTCTCGGCACAGTTCCAGAACTAGTTCAATGTCGTACATACTTCGTATTGTTCTAGAACAGTTACGTTTGTGTTCCAAATCCTGATATAAATCAAGTTTTCGATCTGTGCCTTTTTCACTATCAAGAATTTACAATCAGAGCAGTACAAACAGAACAGAGTTAGTGCAGATGAAACAGGAATTAAAGTTTGTACTAATTCTGGGATGGTGGTTTACTCCTTGATTTAGGTAATCCACTTGTGAGTTGATGGACAGGAGGTTACATAATGCATCAGCCTCTGACCTCTGTTTTCAAAGATTTTTGGTATTTCTTGAGATTATGATATGGCAGTAGAACGTTGTCAATTGGATCCAGAAGTTCACTGTTTCAATGGAGTTTTATTTTGTTTCCAGAAACTGTGCAGCTAATGGACGTTTCGACCAGATATGGCATCCAGAGAAAATTGGAAAGGTTATTCAAAACCGGTAAGTTTTAGCTCTATATTATTGGTGTAGGGTTGATTTTGATTTTAAGTTTATTGTTTTTATTGTACCGCGATTGTTCATAATGTAGAACCTAATTTGTTCTTGGTTTAATGCTATATTGAGTTCTTTGTACATTTGTATTAAAGATCTTATGCCTGCGTGTTTTAAAAATTTTAATAATTACCTTTTGAGTATGTCGACAATGAGTGGCTCGCGAGCCAGTACCACACTTCTGACCGCCTCTTCGATCTCGTTCCATATCCTCTGAGGCTCCTCGCCTTTGCTTCTCAAGTAGGCGTCCAGACTGTGCCTCATGCCGAATCCCAATTCGTTGTAGTACTCGCTCAAAACGGGCACCCGCCAAACTGGCAAATAATCGTCGCCTACTACGTACTTGTTCAAATCCTCCGGATCGAAAGGGTGGTACTTTTTCGGGCAAAACCTCAACAGGGCTTCGCCGTTGTAGATGTAAACTCGCAAAGGATCGATCGAGGTTATGATTGTGTAAATTCCAATATCGAATTTGTGTCCGTCTATCAGCAGCGGTTTGTCAATAAACTCTTGCACAAAGGTGCCACTTTTGCTTAGATCCATTTGGTCCAGCCGTTTTACTTTGATGTTTCTGTGGTCGTTGTTTTTCTGGACGAAAGTCAGATTGGAGCGGTCAGCGGCGTAGGCCAACAGTGCCGCTTTTTGGTCGGGGAGTTTGAATGCCGGAGGCACAAAAGGCACACCGCTGGTCGCCAGATCTACTTTGTTCGTGATGTAGCCGCTGCCTGGAAAGTGGTTGATTTTCTGATGGGGCTTTAGGTGTGTCAAATCGGCTCTGAGCGCTCGGAACGGGTAGTCGTGCGCCCAAAGGAGATCCCAATTAGAACCTGTAACAATTCCTGTTTGAGCTGTTGCAAATAAAATTTTGAATACTACCTTTTGCTTTGTTGTCTCGTTCCTGTTTGAAGCCCAACTGGTCTAGGACTGCGTAAACTTCCTTGAGATATCCGTTTGCGTCGATGTTCTTGCCGTAAGCCCAAAAAGTCTTGGGTTTGTTTGTAGGGTTTTCGAGTTGATTGAAGCACTGCCGACATTCGTCGCCCAGGATAAATAGGATGGTGGCCAAGGATACCAGAAGGAACACTAGGGACAAGCCCCAGTAGGTCGTGAAGAGCTTTTCGATGAATATAGAGGTCGGGGGTAGAGGTGGCGGAAGTGGTGGGCGGCTCAGTATTACCTGGAACATTGTAAATAAATAAACGTTTTTATTTTCAATTTTTTTTTCTGGTTGTACCTTGATTTAACCCCCCCTCTCTATTATGTACCATATACACACCAAACAAATTTAGTACCTATGTCATATGGGTATTAATAAGGTAAGTAATCATAATTTTATTTGCCTTATTGTTTGATGAAAACATTTTGGGTAATGAATCCTGAAAGTTTCAAGTCGATCTGATACTCTGAAGTATTTTTCAGGATTTTTCAAAGATGATTTTCCAACTTTTTCTGGTATTAAGTTGGAAAAAACCTCATAATTTTATTTCTAAGCTTCAGATTGACTTCAAATTTGCCTTGTTTGATGAAAACATCCTGCTTCATGAATCCTGAAAGTTTGAAGTCGCTCTGATCCTTGAAAGTATTTTTCAGAAATTTTCAAAGGAGATTTTATTTTTAAAAAACTAGCTAGGTATGCCAACTCAAACAGTTCAATGAAGCGGCAATAGGAATAGTAATTATTTTTCAATTATTAAATTCAATTTACAAGTACTTGAATGAATAAGAAGCACACTTTTCTAAATTAGAAATCGCACTTGACATTGAAGTTTATTGACCTAGAAAACTGAACCGCTTCATCATAATATAAAAACCCAAAAAGATTTACCTTTTCTTTGACATTTTCTGCATTGTTTTCCTCAGTTTCTTCCTGCTCACTCATTTTCTGTTCACTTAAACTGAAATAACCCAAATCTACCGACATCGATCGAGGAGAGTACCTTGCGCGAATGATGGTACTCTCTGGGTCACCTCAATAACGGTACTAAGCGAGTATGGGTAATCAATGCGCACACAAATAATGTTTTATGGTCAGGATGGCGACTGCACTTCAAATAAACTAATAATTTATTTAAAACAATATAATATCTGGAAGTTTCTTGGGCTTAGGGATTATAGGAAAGAAAACTAGAAAAAAGTATTAAGTATTAACGTTGGTTTTCTTTCCTATATTCCTAAACCCAAGAAAATTAATATTAATGAAATTTTTAACGTAGAGTGATGCCTTCTTTTTCCAGCTCCTCCTTGTATTTTTTGACATATTTTCCATCTGGATCGTATCTAGTTTCCAGTTCGTTCCACCACTCGCGCCGGTTGGCGATCAGATACTTGACCACTTTACCTATGCCAGTTTTTTGGGCTTGGCTACACTTCTGACAGTCGGTTTCCAGAGCGTCTGGCAACACACCTATACAAGAAAAACAACTCTATTTTCCTATAGTCTGTTTCATTGGCTGCAATGAAATAGACTATAGACCAATAATTACATACGTTTCAATTCCTTGGCATCTGGGGTGCACCTGCCTTGATCCAGCAGGCAATTCAGGTAGTTTTTGAGTAGACGGTCGCTGGCAATGATTTCATCAAAGCTCACATTGTCATATTTGGTGGTGTATTTTTCTTCAGCTTCGGTTTGCAGCCACCATAAAGTGGCCAATGCCAAGGCAAATTGTAGCTTCATATCTTTTGAATAAATGGGTTGTTTTTTTTTAAACCTTTTATTTATAATGGATGAGATTTGTTGGTAATTACAGGTGTGTGGTTGATTTCCTGTGGAAATGAACATTTTCATTGCAGGGTTTCTTGACTATATAATTGGTTGGTAACATGCATGCAAGCAATTTGTAAATTAAACTTTATTGTTTTCCTAATATTAATTATTGGTTTTAGCTCTTATAGTATTTGTCTCGTAGCTTCAAAACTGTATAGTTTTTGAGTAAATAACTATAAACAATAGAGTTGAGCATATTTTTTATTATTTACAACAACAAATGAGTTAAATTAGTGCTAGGAAAAATATATGTGTGTTACAAAAACGAGAAGTTTGAGCCACAACAGAGTAATAATAATAATTAATCGATCACATATCGTTTTGTTTAATTATTAATTATTCAAGAAGTCTTTTTATAATAATTATATTTTCTTGGCACATTTTGATTTCGTATAAAGATTATTATTGAATCGAACACGAAGAAGCGTGATCCATTTTCAGCAATTTTCCAGCGTAATCGGCGCCGTTTCCTGCAACTGGAAACTCAATTTCCTCTTCGAAATCGAAATAGTGGCCCTATGGAAAAAAAAAGATTCAAATTGAGTTTGTGAGTGAAGCTGGGCAGCTCACCTGGCACTCTATACACCTACAGTCGTCGGTTTGCGTACAGCTGAGGCCTAAAATGGCGGCAGCTTCTTCGTACAAGTCGATCTTCGTTGTGGACTTTGTCTCTTGGCCCTTGTCCGGCTGTAGTTGTCTCGTGGGGTTTTGATTTGATGTGAAAAACTGGAAAAGCGTTTACTCATTAGGTCCATTTTACAATGGACGTAACATAAGTCCTTATTAGATTTATTTGGTCATCTCTTACGTGTGACATTATAAATCCTAGGACTTATGTTACGTATCTACGGTTACATTACGTCCATTGTAAAATGGGCTTTATAGTCATTTTACCTCTAAATTGAGATTAGTTTTCTGTTGCTTTAATTTCGCATGGGGCTTGTATTTAAGCATTTCTCGGCCTGCGGGCGAAACGAATAAATTTTCCAAGTTGCTTTCCTGCAAAAAAAACATATTCGGTTCGATTATTTTGGAATTTTGGCCTGTGCGATTGTATTCTCACCTCGTTTTTGGCACTGTGCGACTCCAAAAAGTAGATGTCTTGGTGCGGCGAACAGTCAATTATGCGCCCCTTCATTGCTACAACGAATAATATAAACGATAATCGTTTTAGTACTAAGGTACCCACCTTATGATTTTTTCGGAAAAATTTCTATTATAGATAGAAAGCTGAATTTTTCACTGAATTTCATCCCTTCCAAAGGACTACAATCCTTGAAAATTTCAGTTCATTTGCACTTGTGGTTCCTGAGATAAAATGGTGTTAAGCAATTGGGGTGATTTATCAATTTTTCAATTTTTCTGAGTGCCTTTTTTCATAGATTTCGGCTTCAAATCTGAGAATAATTTTATGTATGGAGTTCAGGGTATCACGAGGGACCAGTAGAACCCAAAATCTCGACAAAAAAAAATTTGAAATTTCATCACTTTAGTAAGAAGGTACCCCCCTTATGATTTTTTTGGAAAACTTTCAAAGGTCGTAACTTTTTTTCTACTATAGATAGAAAGCTGAATCTTTCACTGAATTTTATCTCTTTCAAAGGACTACAATCCTTGAAAATTTCAGTTCATTTGCACTTGTGGTTCCTGAGATAAAATGGTGTTAAGCAATTGGGGTGATTTATCAATTTTTCAATTTTTCTGAGTGCCTTTTTCCATAGATTTCGGCTTCAAATCTGAGAATAATTTTGTGTATGGAGTTCAGGGTATCACGAGGGGACCAGTAGGACCCAAAATCTCGACAAAAAAAATTTGAAATTTCATCACTTTAGTAAGAAGGTACCCCCCTTATGATTTTTTCGGAAAACTTTCAAAGGTCCGTAACTTTTTTTCTATTATAGATAGAAAGCTGAATCTTTCACTGAATTTTATCCCTTCCAAAGGACTACAATCCTTGAAAATTTCAGTTCATTTGCACTTGTGGTTCCTGAGATAAAATGGTGTTAAGCAATTGGGGTGATTTATCAATTTTTCAATTTTTCTGAGTGCCTTTTTCCATAGATTTCGGCTTCAAATCTGAGAATAATTTTGTGTATGGAGTTCAGGGTATCACGAGGGACCAGTAGGACCCAAAATCTCGACAAAAAAAATTTGAAATTTCATCACTTTAGTAAGAAGGTACCCCCCTTATGATTTTTTCGGAAAACTTTCAAAGGTCCGTAACTTTTTTTCTATTATAGATAGAAAGCTGAATCTTTCACTGAATTTTATCCCTTCCAAAGGACTACAATCCTTGAAAATTTCAGTTCATTTGCACTTGTGGTTCCTGAGATAAAATGGTGTTAAGCAATTGGGGTGATTTATCAATTTTTCAATTTTTCTGAGTGCCTTTTTTCATAGATTTCGGCTTCAAATATGAGAATAATTTTGTGTATGGAGTTCAGGGTATCACGAGGGACCAGTAGAACCCAAAATCTCGACAAAAAAAAATTCGAAATTTCATCACTTTAGTAAGAAGGTACCCCCCTTATGATTTTTTTTGGAAAACTTTCAAAGGTCGTAACTTTTTTTCTACTGTAGATAGAAAGCTGAATCTTTCACTGAATTTTATCTCTTTCAAAGGACTACAATCCTTGAAAATTTCAGTTCATTTGCACTTGTGGTTCCTGAGATAAAATGGTGTTAAGCAATTGGGGTGATTTATCAATTTTTCAATTTTTCTGAGTGCCTTTTTTCATAGATGCCGGCTTCAAATCTGAGAATAATTTTGTGTATGGAGTTCAGGGTATCACGAGGGACCAGTAGAACCCAAAATCTCGACAAAAAAAAATTTGAAATTTCATCACTTTAGTAAGAAGGTACCCCCCTTATGATTTTTTTGGAAAACTTTCAAAGGTCGTAACTTTTTTTCTATTATAGATAGAAAGCTGAATCTTTCACTGAATTTTATCTCTTTCAAAGGACTACAATCCTTGAAAATTTCAGTTCATTTGCACTTGTGGTTCCTGAGATAAAATGGTGTTAAGCAATTGGGGTGATTTATCAATTTTTCAATTTTTCTGAGTGCCTTTTTCCATAGATTTCGGCTTCAAATCTGAGAATAATTTTGTGTATGGAGTTCAGGGTATCACGAGGGACCAGTAGGACCCAAAATCTCGACAAAAAAAAATTGAAATTTCATCACTTTAGTAAGAAGGTACCCCCCTTATGATTTTTTCGGAAAACTTTCAAAGGTCCGTAACTTTTTTTCTATTATAGATAGAAAGCTGAATCTTTCACTGAATTTTATCCCTTCCAAAGGACTACAATCCTTGAAAATTTCAGTTCATTTGCACTTGTGGTTCCTGAGATAAAATGGTGTTAAGCAATTGGGGTGATTTATCAATTTTTCAATTTTTCTGAGTGCCTTTTTTCATAGATTTCGGCTTCAAATCTGAGAATAATTTTATGTATGGAGTTCAGGGTATCACGAGGGACCAGTAGAACCCAAAATCTCGACAAAAAAAAATTTGAAATTTCATCACTTTAGTAAGAAGGTACCCCCCTTATGATTTTTTTGGAAAACTTTCAAAGGTCGTAACTTTTTTTCTACTATAGATAGAAAGCTGAATCTTTCACTGAATTTTATCTCTTTCAAAGGACTACAATCCTTGAAAATTTCAGTTCATTTGCACTTGTGGTTCCTGAGATAAAATGGTGTTAAGCAATTGGGGTGATTTATCAATTTTTCAATTTTTCTGAGTGCCTTTTTCCATAGATTTCGGCTTCAAATCTGAGAATAATTTTGTGTATGGAGTTCAGGGTATCACGAGGGACCAGTAGGACCCAAAATCTCGACAAAAAAAATTTGAAATTTCATCACTTTAGTAAGAAGGTACCCCCCTTATGATTTTTTCGGAAAACTTTCAAAGGTCCGTAACTTTTTTTCTATTATAGATAGAAAGCTGAATCTTTCACTGAATTTTATCCCTTCCAAAGGACTACAATCCTTGAAAATTTCAGTTCATTTGCACTTGTGGTTCCTGAGATAAAATGGTGTTAAGCAATTGGGGTGATTTATCAATTTTTCAATTTTTCTGAGTGCCTTTTTCCATAGATTTCGGCTTCAAATCTGAGAATAATTTTGTGTATGGAGTTCAGGGTATCACGAGGGACCAGTAGGACCCAAAATCTCGACAAAAAAAATTTGAAATTTCATCACTTTAGTAAGAAGGTACCCCCCTTATGATTTTTTCGGAAAACTTTCAAAGGTCCGTAACTTTTTTTCTATTATAGATAGAAAGCTGAATCTTTCACTGAATTTTATCCCTTCCAAAGGACTACAATCCTTGAAAATTTCAGTTCATTTGCACTTGTGGTTCCTGAGATAAAATGGTGTTAAGCAATTGGGGTGATTTATCAATTTTTCAATTTTTCTGAGTGCCTTTTTCCATAGATTTCGGCTTCAAATCTGAGAATAATTTTGTGTATGGAGTTCAGGGTATCACGAGGGACCAGTAGGACCCAAAATCTCGACAAAAAAAATTTGAAATTTCATCACTTTAGTAAGAAGGTACCCCCCTTATGATTTTTTCGGAAAACTTTCAAAGGTCCGTAACTTTTTTTCTATTATAGATAGAAAGCTGAATCTTTCACTGAATTTTATCCCTTCCAAAGGACTACAATCCTTGAAAATTTCAGTTCATTTGCACTTGTGGTTCCTGAGATAAAATGGTGTTAAGCAATTGGGGTGATTTATCAATTTTTCAATTTTTCTGAGTGCCTTTTTCCATAGATTTCGGCTTCAAATCTGAGAATAATTTTGTGTATGGAGTTCAGGGTATCACGAGGGACCAGTAGGACCCAAAATCTCGACAAAAAAAATTTGAAATTTCATCACTTTAGTAAGAAGGTACCCCCCTTATGATTTTTTCGGAAAACTTTCAAAGGTCCGTAACTTTTTTTCTATTATAGATAGAAAGCTGAATCTTTCACTGAATTTTATCCCTTCCAAAGGACTACAATCCTTGAAAATTTCAGTTCATTTGCACTTGTGGTTCCTGAGATAAAATGGTGTTAAGCAATTGGGGTGATTTATCAATTTTTCAATTTTTCTGAGTGCCTTTTTTCATAGATTTCGGCTTCAAATCTGAGAATAATTTTGTGTATGGAGTTCAGGGTATCACGAGGGACCAGTAGAACCCAAAATCTCGACAAAAAAAAATTTGAAATTTCATCACTTTAGTAAGAAGGTACCCCCCCTTATGATTTTTTTGGAAAACTTTCAAAGGTCGTAACTTTTTTTCTACTGTAGATAGAAAGCTGAATCTTTCACTGAATTTTATCTCTTTCAAAGGACTACAATCCTTGAAAATTTCAGTTCATTTGCACTTGTGGTTCCTGAGATAAAATGGTGTTAAGCAATTGGGGTGATTTATCAATTTTTCAATTTTTCTGAGTGCCTTTTTTCATAGATGCCGGCTTCAAATCTGAGAATAATTTTGTGTATGGAGTTCAGGGTATCACGAGGGGACCAGTAGAACCCAAAATCTCGACAAAAAAAAAATTTGAAATTTCATCACTTTAGTAAGAAGGTACCCCCCTTATGATTTTTTTGGAAAACTTTCAAAGGTCGTAACTTTTTTTCTACTATAGATAGAAAGCTGAATCTTTCACTGAATTTTATCTCTTTCAAAGGACTACAATCCTTGAAAATTTCAGTTCATTTGCACTTGTGGTTCCTGAGATAAAATGGTGTTAAGCAATTGGGGTGATTTATCAATTTTTCAATTTTTCTGAGTGCCTTTTTCCATAGATTTCGGCTTCAAATCTGAGAATAATTTTGTGTATGGAGTTCAGGGTATCACGAGGGACCAGTAGGAGACAAAATCTCGACAAAAAAAAATTGAAATTTCATCACTTTAGTAAGAAGGTACCCCCCCTTATGATTTTTTTGGAAAACTTTCAAAGGTCGTAACTTTTTTTCTACTGTAGATAGAAAGCTGAATCTTTCACTGAATTTTATCTCTTTCAAAGGACTACAATCCTTGAAAATTTCAGTTCATTTGCACTTGTGGTTCCTGAGATAAAATGGTGTTAAGCAATTGGGGTGATTTATCAATTTTTCAATTTTTCTGAGTGCCTTTTTTCATAGATGCCGG